TCTTTCTTTAAACACTGTGAAAGGCAGAGGGACTCTGTTCCTTGCCTGTAGGGCTTGGTCCATGATAGCTGCAAGTTCTCAGCATCTCATAAGATCAAGGCTGTGCTCCTTAACCAGTGTCAGTAGCAGCTCTATGCTCTGCTGGGAGCTTTGCCTTCAGCGTGGGCTGGACTAAGCCTGTTGGACTCATTCTCAGAGAATCTAAGGAAGAGAAAATCCTGCCAGTGGGTTTCTTTCTGCATTAGACCCTTGGTGCTGGGCAGCCAGAAGTCCCTATCCAAAGAGACTTGCTCTTTACTGGAATGTAACAAATACGGTCTAGAAAATGAGGCACCTACTGCTTTTCCTTCTTCATGAAAGAAAATTAACTCTGATATGACCCAGGTAACAATTTATGACACAAAAACTCTAACATGAGAAGGGCTTCTAAGCCTTGCATGGGTTTGTTGAGCCCCTTCTGTGATTCTTCTTTCACAGGTTATATTTCATAAGCTGTGCAAGGGAAGATTAAGACATGAAATATTTCTGAAACAAAATTCATTGCCCCTGTGGATAGAACAAAAATCCCCCCAACCAACTGAACAAAAGCTGTGTTCCAAACAGTCTTTGCTGGAAAAAAAAAAAAAAGTTGTCTCCCAAATTAAACAGACCATACAAAATTAAACTCAGTAGAGAGGGAATATTTGTGCCAGGTACTCTCAGATACAATTGCAGAGATGTGATGTGACTTGCAATATTGTGCAAAATGTGAGTCCTCATTACAATGGGCACTACCATATATAACCAATTTCATCATCCTTGTCATCATCTTCATCTTCATCATCTTCATTAGCTGCTCTTACGTGAATCTTCAGTTTCCCTTCTTTGTCTTTTTTTGCTGCTTCAGGTTCCTCTTCCAAATCATCCAACAATACAACAGATCCACCACTGCCAAAATCCCCTGAGGTTTCTTGCTCTTCTTCTGAAACAGGTGAGCAGGAAAGGTCATTCCCCCACATGACACCAAATCCCTCGTTCATCTCCACCCCTGTCATTCAAGCCACTGTCATCTGCAATGCTACTTTCTACATTCATTGCTTCAGCTGTTCATGGGACAACCTCTAACTTAAAAGTTTCACTGAGGACTGGGATAAATATATATCAATTTACCCTGAAAAGTTCACTTGAATAAAAAACTATGCATTGCTCTCCTCCTAGAGACTCAATGGGAGAGTCTCAGTTCACATGCATGCAGGCTAGAAAATCATTACTTACTTGTAATTACTTCCAACACAACTCTGTAAACCAGGCTAAAAATATTCCACAAATATTGATTTTATTTGAGTGAATAAACCACGCTTTGCAAATGTAGCTATTGAACCTAATCTGTGATGTGATTCTGGGCACCTCAGACCTTAGGTCTGCTTTTTCTGTTCCTTCTTGCAGGGAGCAGCTGCATCCACAACCATCCCTGAAACACTGAAGGAATACAGCTGACAGCTTGCTTGCCTAGGTGATTAGCTAATCTTGCTAATTGGTGACTTGACATATCTACTAATATTTTACATATCTACTAATATCCTCCTGTCAGATATTTTATTTGGCGTGGTTGTTCATCTGTAAAGTTTTACACATTTAAGCTTCCCTTCATCTGGAAAGACATTACTCATGAGGTCCCTGTAAATGTGCATTCCAGAGTGTACAGAATCTAGTTAATAACCACGCCCAGCAAGCCCACAGCCTTTCTTTTAATATCAATCACCACATTTTCCAGACTGATAACAAAAATGTCTTTTCATCAGTGGTTATTGCCTGTGGACTTGTGCTACACTCCCCTCTCATTCCAGAGGACCAATCTATAGGTAAGAGCCCCCATTTGTAGTCTGCACAGGAAAACACAGGGGCACTTGGAACACTGGTAGCTGTGTGTCCCTGTTGTCACTTCTGTTATCACCCTCCATCGTACAGCAGTGGCAGGGCACACACCAGTGTTAATTCCTCTGTTGTCAGAGGAAAGCACATCATTACTCACCACAACTAACTGTCCCTTGCTTTCTTGAGCCTGCTAGCTCATTCCCATACTTGTCGACACACCAGCACTGCCCTGTGCTGCCGTGGCACTGAGTGGCTTTGTAGTAACCCTCTTCATTGCACCGGGGGATGAAAGCACCTGGATAAAACAGAAGGAAGAACCAGCAATGCAAGACTCTGGAGGAACAAGCAGGTATACAGAGTATTACAAACTTACGTTGGTAAGAAAACATGTGTGATTATCTGGCACCTAAAAGGGAGGAGAAATTACATATCAATTTTTTTCAGCCACCCCGGTCACTGCACAGTGCATAGATGTTTGTGCATATACAGCACATGGAGGTTGGTGGTATATGGTACTAGAGATAGGTACAGTCTGTCCCTGAATGATTAATATTCCCACAGAGCCCCTTGCATGTTTAACTTCTGGTTTTAAACTTTTCTTCCCAATTGGATTATTACCCCGAATTCATTAATTCTGCATTTCCCTCCCTTTTGCACTCCTTCAGCGTTTGCCATAGAAGACTTTCCACAACCCTGTAATTATCCCTGGAAGGTATCTGCCATCTGCTTGCTGTTCATACTCATTTCAAGCACAACTTCCAACTTACTGAGAGCTCCCATCTATAAAAGGAGAAGTAATGCACGAGCTCCACAGAGACAACAACAGGATTTGAAGTCAATAAGTCTTTGGATTTGAAGCCCAAGACTTGCCTGACAATAAAAACAATATAGTTCAGCCTTGTGGAGTGTGGTTCATTCTGGCTCCTGCAGACAGGGAAGCTCTCAGGAGAAACCAGTTTTATTGTTCCCACCATTTTCAGCAGATACAGCAGACGTATCAAGATGAGTTAGCTTTATTCCCAGGGGAGGTCAATATAGTAATTTTCCCTTCTTTGCCAATTGCTTCAATTTGAAACATGGCAGAAACCCACCCTTGCCCCCAAATTTCTTGTCTCAAATGATTTTTGAGAGAGTGTTTTTCTCTTTTGTCAAAGACACCAGTGATTTATTTGTCAGGCAGTAAGTTTTTTAACTAGTTTCATGTGTGTAGCATCTCTTCAGAGAGTTCATGTGTCAAAGGGGCTATTTTCACTACATTTCTTACAGAAAAAAACGAATGAGAAGGTGCTACCCAAATGTCATGAAATTTCCTCTATAAGAGGCATAAAAGTGGAAGTCAGTTAGTCTCACACACACACAGAGCTATATAAAGTGAATCCTTGAATTTCCAGACTCATTGCACTGCAGAACTCATCTGATGTTTCGAGTGCCACTAATGTAGGTCTGGAAGATGAGAACAGAAACCTTTTAACATCTGCAGAAATCTTTGTATATCAGATCAGTTTTGGAGACCAATTCACATCCATTAGTGAGGCTATTTTAAACAACTCAAAGCATGATCTTACAGCAGGATTGCTTATGGGTGCCACTATTATGTTCACATACCAACATAAGCATGCTGATGGCTACCAAAGACTCATTTTCACTGTTTATAAAGAAATGGTTCTAAAAACCACATATATATATTTATCTTTGCAGGTTTTTGTAAGTTAATGCTCACTGTCCAACCTTTTATTCCAATACTGATTGAGAAAGATTTTTTAATATTTATTCTCATGTTCTCTCTCTGTTAAGCACTCCAGGTATTTATCAGACCATACACACCCTTGGGAAAAGTGCTGATTCTGAGCTGGTGTAAACCAGTGTAGCTGTACCCATGGCACTTGAGCTCCCCTGTTATATCAGACAAGCATCAAGAATCAAAGGTGAAACCTCAGAAGCATTCTGGGGTGAGCAAAGAATGGCCTCTGCATTTTAAACTGCCTCCTGCTTCTCACTTTTCCTTTCCCTTCTTTGAAACAGGCTTTTTTTGCCTAGTTTCACTGTGTTTCTTGGAAGATATTAAAATGTTCCACACTGCCTGTAAAAGCCATAGAATTAAAAATAAATGATGGCCCAGGCTCACTGCCAACAAAACTGTGTGTGGAAAGGATTCACACTTTGGGTCACAGTGAAGAGTAGAAGGTGATTTTCTTTCTGCATGGGGAATTTATGCCAATTTGTATATAATGCTGGAGCTTTAAATATTTAGCTACGCATACTAATACCAATTAGTATTTGCCAGCCATTAGAGGGGAGACTGCAGCATGTTCTCTCCTTTGTGTCAGATGCAGGGGATAACCTGGTGAGGACTGGGAGCAAATGTTGTCCAGTGTGATGGTTTATCCAGTCAAACCTACACCAATCAGCTCCTGTCTTCCTTCAGAATAAGCTCTGGCTACAGGCTCTGCCATTCTGGAGCATGGCATCCAGACAGACCATTTAGTGGGAATATTTCACCCCATAATTTGGTTTGACATCAGAGAACATCTACAGACTTTGGAAGGAGAAAGGAGTTTTCCTCTCCAGAGGTTCTTGCACAGCTGGCCAAGAGGACCACTGGTGGGCCAGCTTTAGTACAGAGCACAAGAAGATGTTAGTGACTCCCCACTGAGCTGCCTCAGGCTGGTGAATCCTGCTTCCCCCATCTCTCTTTGTCCATGGAGCATTTAATCATTCCACACAAACTTAACAGCAGTGTTGCATCTACATTCCCTTTATGGATCCAGACCTATATCTATTTTCTTTTTTTTTTTTTGGCATCATTTCCTTATCTATAGAATACTCCTCTCCCTCAGAGGACACAGGGAGAATAATTATATGCTAAAGATAGTGAAGCACACAGGTAAAAGCCTAACAGAATTAAGTGCTAGCCAGCACACAGCTCTTTGCATTAGCTATTATATGAGGTGAATTTGCAGGACTGATACAGAAGAAAATAGTGATGGGAGCAGAAATTTATTACCTTAGTGATGTGGGAGAAGCATTATCAGGCTGCACAGTTGTATGCTCTAAAAGTACACTCTCTGCAGTTAATTGTACTCTAGATAAATCTGGTAGGAAAAGATGAATAGTGCTGTTTACTTTTTAATTCTGTCCCCTGGGATGCTAGACTCTATTTGAAAGTCTCCAAATTCAACATATCTAATGGCGAAGGCTTTGAAGTACTTTGTTGCAACTGTCATGTATTTTGAAAAATATATAGGGAACAAAATATCAAAAGTCATCACTTTTTATCAATGGATACAAGTTAGCAGAAGTCTTCTTCATGCCTACTGCCCAGCCTGTAAATGCTGCGCTCTATATGTCAGGGACAGAGAAGGAAAGAGAATAATTAAAGGCTAGTTTCTCTGGAAATATTAATCTCTCTTTTCCATCTTTGTTGTGGCTACAAGCATGGGTTTTGTCACGTGTATGGTCTGGTTTCTATTTGCATAATTTTTCAGTCAGTGGAGAGAAAAGACAATGTTTTCCGCTGTATAAATAGCTATGAGATCAGATTAAAATCTCACAGACAGGTGCCATTATGCAGACAGACTTTCAAGGTAGGTGAAGCAAAGAGTTCCTCTCTATATTCTAATTTTCTAGCTTGTGGAACAACCTATGCCTGACGCTTCTTGATTTGTTGAGCCTAGCCACTTTCATCCTTCATTTTTTTAATACAGTTGACTAGAAGTTATTTGTGGTAAGGGACCATTCTTACTGCTTTTACTTTGTCATTTTGCTCCTGCTATTGTGATCAGATCCCAGTGATATGCTACAACTGCCTGCATGTTGTACCACCTGCAATATAGCCATCATTTTTCCCTGCACGCTGGAACAAACCACTTATGTTTCAGCCTAGATGACATTTATTGCATATAGCAAATAACAGCAAAGCATAATATAAATATGGGATAGCCAAAGCTATCTAATAGGAACTGGGCTTCTTATTCTTTTGAAAATCATGACACCCATGAGACAGAGAACACCACGACCTGCATGCCACAGCATGCATTAGAACACAACTGCCAAATATTTACTGAATGGGGCACAAATACAACGGAGCCATCAGTCCTCCCTTTGCTCCCCCAGCTATGAATAGCAGGAGCTGTAACTCTGAAACACCCTAATCTTTATGTGAACTTGCTAGGAAAGGATGATGGAACTAAACCACAGTCCCTGTGGCCTTTGGGAATGTTTATTTTTATTTTAAACTAATGAATCCATAGAAGAGAATCACAGAATTGTTCAGGTTGTAAAAGACCTGTAAAATTACTGAATCCAACAACTGCCCCAGCACTGCCAAGTCACCCCTAAACTGTCTCCCTCAGCACCACATCTCCATAGCTTTTACATCCCTCCAGGAATGGGGACTCCACCCCCTGCCTGGGCCAGGACTTGACAACCCTTTTGGGGAAGAAATTTCACCTAATGTCCAATCCACGTTGGGATTGTTCATAAGATATGTTACCAGACCCTTGAGTCCAAATGGCAATGGCACCTGGGACTGGCAGGGTTTGGCAAAGATGAGCTTTGCAGAAGCTGTTTGTAGGGCCTGCTAATGAGCATATAGGAATATCAGACTAAAATGTGAGAGCAGCAGAGCTGCAATGTGAGCAGCACTGCAGCAGAGCTGGCATGCACGCTCTGTGCTGCAGCTAGTGGTGCTGGGAGAACCTGACGTGGCTTCTCCATGATGGGCCTGGCAGCCTGGGGCAGAGGTAAGGCAGACTCTTCAGGGCTGAAATGCAGGGCTTGCTGTGGGCAGAGACTGTAATCTGTGCAGGTATGCCTCGTGTGATTTGGCTGCAGACAGACAGGGCAGAAGCTTCAGTAAGATACCACCATGTAAACGCTGAGCTACGGAACACTGTGATTTCAGGGTATGGAATTAGTTACCTTCAACTGACTCAGTTCAACAACCTGATTTTTTAGCAATTAAATGGCAAAATGCCATATTTATTTCACCTGATTTTATATATATCCATCAAAGCCATGTAAGTCATGAATGCATTCAGGCTCCCAATAGTCAATAGAGAGAAGGGCAGGTATTATCACACCTTACAACATGGAGCATCCTGAGGGGCTGCCTAAACAGATGTGATATGAATTCCTGTTTTCATATACACAGAATACACTGAAATATTTTTAAGGGTGATTAGGCAAAACTGAACCCCAGGGAATGCTTGCATTGCTCCATAACTGGAAGAAGAGATGAACTCATTGGTTATGCACTGTGGCACGTTCAGTCACCCTTCAAAAATGGGAGGCTTGAGCATCTAGCAGCCTCCACGCTTATTCTGACCTAGGAGGTGATGGTGGCAGCATTAGGCTCTGTGCAGAGAAGGTTTTGCATTTCTAGAGAGCTGTAAATGAGTTCTGGAGGCGTTGCCATGCTGACACCTGTTCTGTATGTTGCTATCTCATTATTTGTTTAATTTCATAGTGTCAGGCCTATACTCCGTGGTGCGTATTCTCGACTCAAAACATTAGTCTCTAATTGAAAAACCATTACTGCATATAAAGTTACAATAATCACAGAAGCTTTAATTAGTTGAGTAAATGAATAGCAAGTAATCGAACTTACCCAACAGACTCTTCCCTCTACTTAGCTTTTGAATTCTATTCATTTCATTCTGGCAAGGAAGACCTGAAATATAATGTATGAGAATCAGTTTCCAGATGGTTCAGGACAGACTCTGTAATGACTGGCTTCTCTACTGACATGAAATGCAGACTACGGTACACCTGGGAATGAAAGCAGCCCATATGCTGGTACTGTACTGCAAAACAAATTTATGTCATTAGCTCCACTAATTAAAAAAAAAAAAGCACCACACTGTAGTTGAGAATAGCGTTTGGGGGCTACTTACATTGTTAAAAGCATTTTTCCTCTCTTTTCACCAAATCAACTCTCTAATTTATGATTTGCTAATTGACTAATTTCTGCATTAATAAAAACTTAAGTTCTTGATCTTTCTGTGAGTCGTAGAGCTTTTCTAGACTCTGTGCTCTGGCACTTACTCCTTCTTTGCTTGTTTTGATGATCAAGGGATATTAACATAGCTCATCTGTGACATTAAACATTGGCACACGCTGCCCTTTCACCCCGGCGCGGGAGAAGAGAACTTTACAAGGCTGCCAATTACCAAACTATCTCTACAAGCAGCTCAATCAAAGCTGAAACCCAGGGAGACACAGCCAACTTCTCTGGGTGCTGCCCACTCACCGCCCGGCTTCTGGAAGCAGTAGCACCACTCGTTGTTTGACAGCTTCCCGTCCTTGAAGGAGTCGCAGGAGTTGAAGAGAGGCTTGACACAGGGCTCGTACTTGTCCAGGTAAATGGCACTGATCTCCGAGGGGTCCAGCAGCAGGTCGTAGTTCATGTCCAGTTTGTTGAACATCCAGCCTAAGGAGTCCTTGCAGATGGGTAGTATGCTGGTGTCAAATCCTGTAAGGAGATAAGCAAAGGGCCCTAGCTGAGCCCCAGCACACTCACTGCACAGGAATCGCTGCTTAGCTGAAGCCTGGCTCATTTTCTTTGGCCTGACTCTGAACATTAATGTGGCTTGCCTAAAGCAGAACAAAATTCTAAGACTGGACTGATTGTGTAAAGCTTAAAACCCAAGCACAGCCACAGACTAGAGCACTACTCACATGCTTAGGAGCTGGGGGGTGGGGAGGGCTGCGACTCATAGCTGGTTACTGCAGTTCAAAGTTATTTCTACTCCAAAAATTCTCACTTTTTTTTTTCCCCCTTCTCTCAGTTCAAGTGTGTTGGTCTTGTTCCAAGAAACTGAAATTGATGAGAAAAAGCTGCATCCACTGTATTTTCAAACCAGACTGAGTCTGAAGGTGATTTAAATCCTGTTTCCCAGACCCACTTCTAGTTCCCTGATCAAATTCTTTCTTACAGTGCTCTCACCTTCCACCTCTTCTAGCTTTTCACTCATTAAAGCCATGCCTCCTGTGGTGGACAGCAACACGCTTTGATCTGGATTGCGAGCTGTCTGGGGGAGGCAGGCTGAGGGAAAGGACAAAGCATCCCTTTTGCTTGCAGCACTGAAGAATGGCCCCATTCAGCTGGGAGCTCCAGAGAGCTGCACGTGCTCGTGGAAGCTCTACCAGCACTATGCCTACTGGAGGCCTCCAGGATGGTGCAGTGATGCAGGATTCTGCTCTTCCAGCGCTTTGGAAACGATCACCGTCACTCATGGTGTTATAGTGAACAGCCCAGATCCTTAAAACACTGCAGGAGCAGCAGTGGTTGTCACAGAAAGACCAAGTCATCCATATAGATCCCCACAATGTATGTGAGGGGCACGTTGCAGTATTCTGCAGCCTCCATTAAACCAGGGGCATTGCCTTCTTTCACAAACAAGACAGGACATTTAAAATCCATCCTGTCGCTGCATTATTCCATGCTTAGTACAAACATGGAGTAATTTCCAAGTTGCCTATGATGTAAGAAAGCATATTTTTGTAATGCAGAGCTAATAAATCCTATAATAAGGATGCTGGTTTCAGCAAGGACTTGGGAACCCGCATACATTGGGCTGGGGGTTTGCAGGCACAGAGGGCACCTGAACCACACACCCCTGAGCCACACACCCCGGGCACCTTGTGCTCACACTGTTTCAGCCCTGTGGCACAACCTGTCTGTGCACCATTCACTCTGCTACAGGCCCCAGGGACCAGCCTGATGGGCTTTTTTTCCATTTGCTGCATCTTTCATGGAATGAGGTCAAGCTTAGCTTCATTTGCTGTATGTGTCAAGTCCCATTCCAGGCTGCTGCTTTGTTAAAGTGAAACCTAAGGTGTTGCTGGAGTCACGCTGACAGTTTGTCTGAGCTCTGCAGCCTGTCTGCTATTCTAAGGATGAATCCAAAGGAGGGCAGTGCTTTATGCTGGAAGCTGTGCTTTTTGTATGCAGCTGAAGGTTGTCAGTGACATGGAGGAACAATCAGAAGGGTTAACTAATGGGAAGGTTTCTGCCATTCATAATACATGTTTTCTCTAAGAAAGGAAGAGGGTAACGCCATTTCCTCAGGGCTAAAGGCAACTCAGGCAGGGAAGAGAGAAATCATGCTGAACATTTCATCACATTTCTCTGCTGTTATCTCCTCTTACATTATCTAATTGAGTTTGAGCACGGTGAAAAAGAAAAAGGCCATGTGAACAGATGTAGAGAGGAGGCCTGCTTGCCTTGCTGAGGCAATTAGGACTATTGACTTCAATTACTGTATTCATATGAGGAAGGCAACCAGGATTTGGTCACTGTGCAATCTCTTGTTGAGTGAAAGGATTTACGAGTCCTTGACTTTGCCTTTACACAGCCCTGAGGAGCAGGGCATGCAGTCCTGCCTTAGGTGGGTGTATTGCTGTGCCTGACTCCCCACCGTGGGGCAGGTTAAAAGCAGTCAAACAGGCAGGGGTGGATCATTCAGCTGCATGGTGGAGCTGAGATCACTACGTCCTTCAGCTACACCAGCTGAACAGCTTCCAGGGGAAAAACAGATGGGTTCCTCTAGCTGCTCTTTTCCTGCACAGATCCCCTCCCTGGTGATGGTCTTTACACCCTGCTGGGGCACCTACTGCTGCTGAGGTAACTACAAGGTCTGATGTATAAGGGGTTGAGTACAGTATGTGTTGCTCAGCCCTGTGAGTCTCTAAAGGTGACCTCCTAACTGGCAAGGACCAATGCGTGGAGGAGGAGATCCTGGCATGAACGGGCCCCTGACAGTGTCTGTGGATTATTTCTGACTTGTTTTCCTCCCTGCTGGGAACTCTTTATCTGCATGTACAACATGCATCCAGGGATACAACAGCAGCAGCGAGCCCACAGCACTGATCTGTCTGAGCAGATCACAAGATAGTGACTGATGTGAATAAGAGGCTGCTCTGTGACATCCCATCAGGGCTTGCATGGTACAATCATGAAAGGTCACTTATGAAGACAGTTAATTACATTGCTTGAAGAGTTTTTGATTGTAATTTCTTATAAACAAGGGAGCTTTCCACTGTTGTGACTGGAGTTCCAGATTAGGTTTATTAAGAGGCTGCATTATTAAGGTAGACTGTTAAACAGTGTGGTCTGGAAGTCTTCAAATATTACAGTGGTGGGTGTGCTGGAAAGCCTGTAGTTAGATGGCTATCATCAGTGACAAGGTGAATTCTTTAATTGTCCCTCAGTACGTGGCTGAAGGTGAATATTAGCGTCTACCTCCATTTTATTTTGTCTCCTGGTAAAAGCTAATTGCCTGCAAATCACCTTTTGGAACATTGCATCTGCAGTCCAAAACCAGCACTCCTGGATGCTCCCAGCAGCAGGCATGAAAGCAGAGTGTGCCCTGACTTACCCTGTCACCAGGGCACTGCTGAAAGGGACTCTTGGAGTTCTCTTACCTTCGTTGGGAGGTCACTGCTCCCACCAGCTTGGTGAGGCCAAGTGATGTCCAATGGATTAACTCCATTTTGGAGCCTTTTGATATACTTGCCTATAAATATGATGCAATATGCTGGATGAAATAAACCACATACAGTAATTCTGTAATGAATTAATTGTTTGGTTAATAGGCTGGACTTTAGCACAACAGACAGAGAAGAACAGGAACCTCAGGAAGAACTTTTCTGCAAGGGAACGGTGCAGGCTCCACATCCCTCCTACTCTCAGCTCGTTGGCAGAGGCTGCCCACACAGATGCCAATTAATGTCAGTTGTGCTGGTGGCTGCTCTCACTTGGACACCTGCTCACGAGGACCTGGATTGAGACCATCATGTTTCTTGTTCCGACTGACAGCTGTTCAGCATCCTAACAACTTCCATTCCCTGCAGGTCTGGAAGGGAATCAACCAGTGACCTACATGTAAAAGCCTCATCTCCCATTAATACGTAGAACGGTCCACCTCCTCTGAATTAAAATGGAATTCAATTTCACAAAAGTCTTTGAGTGAAAATCCTAATTAAAAATAAACACACCTTCTGGCATATAAAATGATTTTCCCCCTTTAAGAGCTGACTTACATGAGTCAGTTTTATTTTATTAAAGTATACTACAATTAAATTATCAGGGGAATAATTAACCTAATTTCCTCCATCACTTAAAATAAAAGAAGGAAGGGAAGAAATATTCCCCAGAAAAAAAATCCTTTATATTGCACAGATCTCTAGTGAAAGAAAAACAACTCCCACTCCAACCCAAGACTCTATCTAGATACAATGCAGGAATGTTATGAATTATCAACAGGCTCAGGAGCAATTTGAATCTGATCTAACTACCTAATTAGTTTTATTATTTCCTTATGTCAAAGCATGTCCCTGAGTAGCTTATACTATTTATTGAGGAGATTTCAATTGTACAAATCCTGCAGAAGACAAAGTTCCTGGCCTGTGGTGCTTTGCTGGGATCTGGTGGAGAGCTCATTGAATGAAGGTTTGAGATTTCAAAGACAATGACTTGTCTTCACCCTTTTCTTTTCAAGAAAGTTGAAAAAAAAATACCCAAAAAAGACTGTACATTTTTTTTCTTCACCTGGGGGTGAACTTAATACACTCAAACAGCTTATTTACACTCACAGGAACATCTTGAAAATTTAATGTAGCATAGAGAAATCTCTGCTGGGACACCTTCTCCAGACAGCTGATGTGTCCGAGGCATCGTAGTCATCCCATCCCACCATCTGTTCCTGTTACTGCCACGGGGGCAGTTCCACAAGGGATCACTTTGAGCCTGTGCATGCCTTTTTAAGACTTTACAGGCATAACCAAACCTGTTCAGTTTAATGAAGTGATCAGCCTGGGGAGGGGGGGGCGACACATGCCGAGCAATAAGAAAAGGGCAACGTGTACATCAGGGTGCATTTCTGGAGCTGTGTGTGTCCCCTTTCCCAGGGTTCACACAAGCTCTTTTTTTTCAGCTTAGTTATGTGAACTTTGCTTTGAATTCTGAGCCCTGTTGAAGATCTCTTTCATTTTTACAAATGTTTGAAGCTGAAGTTAGAAGAAACCAAACACTGCCATGCTTTTAGTGCTACCAGAGAGAACTGGAGCTGCAGAATTTGGCACATGCAGATTAATTCATGAATACTGTTGCAAACTCTTAAAAAGAAAAACAAGCCCAAGCTTTGTGGCATTCAAAAATTATTTAGGCACCTTTAACTCCTAAAGGTTCTTTTTTATTTTTTTTTTTTTCAACTGACATGTAAGAAAATAAAAAAATGTGCCAAATAAAGTCAACAGTCTAAAAATGAACATTGTTGAGATCAAGTGTTCGAGATCATCAAGGCAGCCTTTCATATAAAAGCTGCCAGGAATCAAACTAAACTAAAAAGAGATAACAGCTCCTCTGTGAATCAGAGCAAACACTGCAGAATTACCAGGAGTGTTTTTCTCACTGAAATTGCTTCAAAAAAAAAAAAAAAAAGAAAGATCCAACAACTTTAGGAATTAATTTGGCTTTTCTCACTGAAATTGCTTCAGAAAAAGAAAAAAAAAAAGAAAGATCCAACACCTTTAGGAATTAATTTGGTCTTTGACCTTTGGTATCACAGGCCAGTTGCATGAAAACCATGTTTTTGACAATCGGGTAAAATGAGATTCCTTGTGGTTCTGGGCCTAAAGAACTTCAGACAAAGTTTTATGTCTCTGGCATTTGCTGTCACAGGATCTGAAATAAATTCATGTCTTGAAACCATGCTTAGCTGTACATCCAGTTGTCTTTTTGCACTACGGTTTGGCTTCCTCCACAGGATATTACACTTTTTTTTGGAGTACTGTTTAAGAAAAGAGAAGCACATATGGTTTTAAAGATGCTGACATTGTTGTAAATGCTGTGAAAAGTAAGGGACATCTGAAAAAGATAATTTACACAAAACATGGCTTGCTTCACCACATAGTTTTAAGATACAATTACTTGGGATTAGTGAGGTTTGACTATAGTTTTAAGCAACACGGCCTGTGGAATATTCCATCTCTTGAGGAAGAGGCCATCTATTGCTAGGTAAGCTCATCAGCAAGACAAAAGAAGAGTGGCTATGGAGACATGGACCAGCAGAAAACGGGCATCCTGATGTGCTGGGTCTGCTACTGCACCTTTAGCCTCTCCAGTCCCATGCTACAAAGAGCTATAAAAGGGAGCAGTGGACTGAACCTTTTAAACTGTGTGTGTGCAGACCCTGGCTTTAGACAGCTTCTACCAGAGAATCAGGGCAGTGAAGTGATGCTGAGTTACACACCTTGATAAAACTTGTGCATCCTACTTCTAAAAAAACTTGTGCATCCAACTCGAGGGCCCATGTGTTTTGGGATATACAATTTAAAGGATTAATGAGTCCTTACAGAAAATAAATTCACATCTGTTCTCTGATGAACATGACCTCTTTTGATGCTGTTATTTGAATCTTTCTCCTCCCTGGTGGGTAAATGACATCAAAATCAGTCATATTGGCTTAACCCACAGAGAGTAAATGTCCTCTAAACTGCTCATTTTCTTCCTTTCTTAAAAAAAAATCATCAAAGGAAGCAAAGACGGTGTTATTAAATACCTGGGGGACAACAGGTTCCAGCTTTCCACACCTTTTAACTATTCCAACTCCCTGTCTGCGATGTTTTTATTATTCTTTCACTTGTCTAAGGTGTGAGCAGGAAATTGCAAAATAAAATCAAACCGAGTTTTTTTTCCAGCACTGGCATAACTCCCCCGTGCTTCTATGCCACGTTTTTGGTTCATACCACTGACATTGGGTTGGAAAATGCTTGGTGATAAACTGAGTGGTAGGCAGACACCATGGTCCCTCCCCACAAAGTGATCTGGACACAGCCACACTGATTTGGAGGGTCGTGGGGTTTGACTGTACAGACACGAACTAACCTCAGGGCTTGAGAAAGGTCCCTGAGCCATTTTATTTGCTGGTCTAGAGGTGACTGACCCCCACGGCCTTCAGACACAATTATTTGCCTGATTAACTTGTAAAGGTCTCGCTGCCTCCAACTGGCAGGTTTTAGAGCAGTTTGGACCAGAGGGGGTACAGAAAACTTTGCAGGATCAGGTCTCCTGTGTACCTGCTCGACCTGCCATTGCAGCACTAACAGCTCTGCTCAGCTGAAGGCTCTCTCAGGCTGGGGAGGTACCTACAACACTCAATGCTCAAGAGGAAAGGTGTTTTCTTACTGCCTTGTGCCGTCTCCGAGCTCGTTGGTTTGATGACACGATTTGCATCCTCATGAAGAGCACCAAACCAGTCTTTTAGTCGGGAAGCCAGGTTCCTCAGTTCTTTGTCTGTGCAAGCTAGAAGAAGAGCAAAGCACCAGACTGAGTCAACAGCACCAGTGAAAAACCTTTCTCCAGACAATATATTGGAAAATTGGTTGTAAAGCCCTTCTTATGAAGAGCTCTGAAGTAAAAGAGAAGGGTTGGGGAAAAGGATGCAAGTTCAAAAGAAAATAAGTCATTATGAATTCCAAGTTGTGCTCGAGCAGTTCCCCAGCAGCTGACATGATTGGTGATGGAAGAAGTGACACACAGAGCTACCCGCGGGTTCTCAATTAGAGCTCTGTGACTATTTAACTTGAATGCTTTCACCTTTTAGAATCTCAGAGAAAAATATCAGTCAAACAGATGGGGAGGAGGGACACACTTGCCTAGACAAACTACTCAAACAAGATGCTGGGAATAATTTATAAGCACATTTGGCTTAATATAAGGCTATTATCACAGTAATAAGAAATATATATACTTATTTGTATACATCAAAAAGAAAATTATGTTGCTCTAGTTCTACCACAAATGAGACTTTGCCACCTCTGAAGGTTGTCAGTTCCATTTTGTTAGTGAGGTAAAACACTCCTTTTCTTATAAATTTTTACTGAGAAATACCCAAATTTTCCAGAAATTTCTGCCAAGTCATTATCCAGCTGAAGCAAATACTTTTAAGGAAGAAAGATGCATTAGGCACCAGTTTCTATGAGAAAAAAAAATATCCTTGTTTCTGTATCGTGTTTAATGCTTAAAATCCACATGCTTAGATAATTTTATTATTCCTGCTGTGCACTCTTTCTACATTTTAAATGACAATTCTTGGAATATAGAGCAAGATTTTATGCCGCAGAGGCAGACATCATTCACAGGGCAAGCCACAATACAGCTTCTCCAATTCACTGCACATCATAATATTCCTCCTTCCACCTTACTGAAGAACAATTGAGTCCCACAGCTTGTCTTCCCAGGTTAAACTCACTGCTCCAATGCCTGCAATGAACCTGCTGGTATCTCATGGCTGTGCTGAGTATTTGTTTGTTGTTACAGGTTGATTTTTTTGTCAAATAACTCTGAAAATAAAAATAGGACATAATAGCTTTATCTAAGTGGTAAGTATTGTAGCATTTGGGGGAGGAGAAGAAAAAGAAAGACTTTCCCATTTATCTTAATGCTGAAAGAGTTTGATAGATTTTCCTATTAAAGATCAAAATATGAAGATCACTGTCCCACTAAGGCTGAGTCCAGGTAAGGAAAAATCAGATCTTAAACAAAGAAACAAACAATTCATGTAAAATAAATGGAAGAAAATGTAATTAAGTGTATTTCACTACTGAAAAAGCATATCACTTTATTTTCTTACTTAAATTAGTATTATATTTACTCAAGGTAAGCTGTCTTATCTTTTCAAGTTAAGAGAAAAATTTGATTTGTGAACCTGCCATGCCACCATTTCTATAAGGAACATCTCATGCTGCTGTTGTTCCTCGGCTGCTCCTCACAAACAGTGTCTTTTATCAGAGAAAAATCACAACAGAAGCAATAGCAGAACAAATTCCATCATCTTTCCTGTAACCAGCCCCCATCAGGAGATGTTGCCTGAAGGAGTGAAGGGGTAGCAGGAAAACTAGTTTAATAGGTAATAAATATTCAGGAATGAACTAGCTCTAGACAGGCACAAAAGATTTCTTATTTTGTGAATTTAGATTCATGAAGATAAAGATGTTTCCATCATGCACTGATTTCAACAGGAGCTGGGCACCTAAATTCATGTTAGAAGTGATGGAGATACTTCTGCATGGGGTGGGAGATGTTGTTCCTGCAGCCCCTGTTGAATTGTCATCAGCTGATTTTCATCAGATGTATTTTTGCCAAAATATTATTAGGTAACTACAGCAACATAAGAGACCATCATAACCTTTTCAATAGCCTGCCCTCACAAACGTCTTCTGAGGAGTGTAGTGATAATCATGCCATCTTTCAGAATAAAAAGCAGGCAGTATCTTTTCTCTCCTTCTGCCAAGTAGCCGTCGTGTCCTTTGAAAGTCAGTTTTGCAAAGGAAAAGAAATATGTAGTGCATGACAAGTAAGAGCTGTTTAGCCAATGCCTCATACATGACAGGCTACCCATATGCCCAGAGTATTTCACAAATGTATCCTCAGTCAAAACTGCACACATAAACACAGCTTTGACTACTGACTATACCAAATGGGTGAAAAACCAGAGGGTTCAGTTGCCCAATAAATGCCTAATGTAGTTTTGTGCATGTAGCACACTGGTCCCTCCCCTGGCCTCAGCCCTGTGCAGAAGACATCCCCAGTGGAACACTAACATCCCTCAGACAAATTTCACAAAGTGGTTGTTTGGTTTAAACTGCATTGACTGAAGTAGTTTGAATCCATGCTTCTAAACTGCAAAGGAAAACAGGATTGAAAACACAGTGTAGGTGGGACAGAAGTAGATTAATTAATGGTAAATCAGACTCAAAATGATTTCTCTGTATAGTCCAGCCAATTAAACATGTCAGGATCTGTAAAATGCCACTCATAAAGCAGATGTTACCTTTTTTTACCACGGAACCAGGTTTTACCATGTACATGTTTCTTGGTAGTACTAAGTTTATGGCTGTACCTGATCTTAAAGTTCTCTTCTAAGCAAAGCAAGTCTATGGTTCTCGTTAGATCCTCTTTAGTGGCTATCAACATTCCTGCTTCCATCAATTCTTTGCCATTACCCAAGTGCTGCAATTCATGACCTACATCAGTGTGGTTATACCCCACAGACACAGGACCCCTGTATCCTCCTGTCATTCCCTAACAATATTTCTCTTGATTTTGATGAAGCAATAATAGACTTTCAGCCTCTGCCATGCAGAAGCTTCCTCAAAGGCTGCCTCATTCACTCAGGTCAGTCTTTAAAAGTGGACCCTGGATGCTGCTTTCTCTTTTCACTGACAAGTCTGCAAAATGCTACAAATCCTGCAGGTTTCCTTTGGAATTCATTCAGAGGCATGACTTGAGAGTAAGCCCAGAACTGGAGTTTTCTGCATTCTGGAGAGATTTTTTTGTGAATAACTGAGATATTCCTTAAGTATGTTGCTTAAGGATGATTCAACAGTGGGTATTATGTTGAATTTCTCCCTGAGGGCTGCAGCCTTCAGAAAGATAACCGTGGTTTTGTGAGTAAAACAGGAACCAACTGTGCTGTTAATATGTAGTGAATAATAAATTTCTTCATGAGACTTCAAAAATGTAATGCAAAGTTCAATTAAAATTCTATTCAAGTATTTCATGCCCTCAATCTTACTTTCTCTTTCACATTAAAGCAGAGGAAATATTATTTTATATTTTTTTTGGTATTAAATCTTATTTTAAGGCTACCATGCATGGTTAAAAAGATTCTGCCTCTCTACCTCATGGAGATGATTTTTACTTTATTAATTTTATTTAAATGCTTTCAGAAGTGTCTAATTATTCTGATTTTGTTTGTTTTGGACCACACTATTTTGGACAATTAAAAGTGGATTGACATTCAGAGGGCATGAGTTTAATACCCACAAAGTCAGGCCCAGCCTCCAGCTGGGTGTCCAGGAACTTGATTTATTCCTGGTGGTAGAGCCCATTAGTTAGGTATCAAACAGGAAGCATAGCTCTGAGGAGCCCCAAATCTAAGATACTCATATATAAATTTGAATTAGTGTAAGTTATAAAACATTTTTAAGAACCCTCTTCATGAAAAATACAGTGCAAATGTACCTCCTTACTATTAATAGAAGTTTCAAGTAACATTTCTCAGAAGAGGAGATTAGGGCTGTAGGAGGAATAGATGTGATAATGGGTCTCTTGCTATTTGAAGGTCTGTAAGGAAAGAACATCTAGGTTACAAACAACATGGATATTACATGACTTGAAGCACTGATTGAAAAGATCTCGGTTGAAGAGAAACACCCAGGGAGGAACCCCTCCATAGTTCCTCTCTAGCAACTGAAATCTGTCCAGTCAACTGCCAGCAACCATTTAGAATCATAGAGTCCTTTAGGTTGGAAGAGACCTTTAAGATCATCAAGTCCAACCATTAAGCCAACACTACTAAGTCCTCTGCTAAAACAGATCAGAATCTGTCAGGGTTGGAAGGGACCACAAGGGTCACCCAGTTCCAACCCCTCTGCCATGAGCAGGGACACCTCCCGCTAGATCAGGCTGCCCAGAGCCTCCTCCAGCCTGGCCTTAAAGACCCCCAGGGATGGGGCCTCAACCACCTCCCTGGGCAACCCATTCCAGGGTCTCATCACTCTCATGGGGAAGAACTTCTTCCTCATGTCCAGTCTGAATCTATTTAAAACTCCTCTGCTGTGAAAAAGACAGAAGTGCAATCAGAGGCAAATATGCGTTTTCACTTCTGTGTGTATTTTCTTCAAGATAAGAAAATCTGGCTCCAATTCATTTCCTATACCTTTTAAAAAGGGAAAACCCACAAAAGTTTATCCTTGTTATTTGACCAACATCACTGAAAGTTTTGCCTTAGCAGCCCTCTGATACCAGGTCCCCATGTAATGTTAATTCCTGGCTCCTTCCCTGCTGATGTGCTTGGATGACATTTGGGCACAGCCCACGACTTCCCTGCATGCAGGAGCTTGCTGGTGCTGCTGGAACAACCCAGGAGGAGGTTCTTCTTCCTGCTGTATCCAACCCACACCCTCAGATGGGAATCTGCAGATGTTAGGAATCATCCTGCAGAAGTGATTTAACCACAAACACTGAAAGGGCAAATTTATCCCCACGGGTGAAGCAATTGGTCCAGCAGTTATTTATTCCTAACAAGTGGAAAACACTGTTGCTAAATACCTATTTTCACCAAGCAGAAAGCATTAATCTGACCTAATGGAAAGCCATTAGCATGCTGTAAAGGCTCAGGCTTTTATAGGTTTGCTTCCATTATGGACTTTTTCAGCTCTAGAGATACTAAACTAGATACTGTGGTGGTGAAAATTAACAGTATAATATTTAATTTCACTCTTTCAGGGAGGGACTTT